CTGTTGGTCTAAATGTCTGAGCTACTGAACCTTCCATTCAGTTGTGGTTTCTATCTGAGGCCCAGTAGGCAAGCTGTGTTCTGGGGACACTGGGGGAAACCCCGGTGATGGCACACAACAGTACCAGCTGTCGGGAACTTAGGGGGCCCTGCTCCTAATAGAACCTGTGTTATCTGTAAGTGGTTCCACAAAGAGCAGGAATACCTGGTACTGGTGCGGCAGCCTCCCAATCAGCTGGGATCCCGGTGTAAAACCCCCACTTGACTAACTTTGTATTTTCAGTATAGGCAGGGTTTCACTTGTTTGCCAGGCTGGTCTTGAACTCCTGAGGTCAAGGGATCCACCCTCCTGGGCCTCCTAAATGGGCTGGGATTCCAGGCTTGAGCCCCCATGGTGTCTCCACAAATCCTTTTTTTCAGTAAAGGTTGTTAGAATTCATCTCTCAGTCCAGTCTCCTGTATAAATTTCTCTAACCATTCATTGACCATGATATATTATGAGATAAATCAATATTACAGCAATGCTTCTGGAAAGTATCCAGGGCAATTTTTGTAAATTTTTGGGGAAAAATTTTAATTTTTTGCCTGATTAAGGTCTACCGGATGAGGGAGATTTAATGCCATGGATCAAAAGCAGGCTCATCTACTCTAGGGCAACTTAGTCTAGGGCCCGTTAGACACTCCTGTCAGAATACCACATTCTTACACTGAGAATATTTCCATCCTTGTGCTATGATGGCACTGATTTTGTCTTGTGTGAAGTGTGATTTGCTTAATGTGACCTGCTCTTCTGAATTTGTTTACAGGAGATCGAAAAGATCACGATGAGAACAGAAATGCAGAGACAGCAAAATAAACTTCTTAGAGTCCAAGTGGCCTACTACCTGGGCTGCCGCTGAAGACGGAAGGTAATTCCTAGGTTCACCATCATGAGTGATGAACAGTGTCCTGTTTTTTCTCTAGAAACCTACACTGTCTTCTTGAAAGGTGATTTTATTCTGCCCATACTCCAGAATGTAGCAATGGGTGTTTTACGTTTTGTTAATGATGGAGACAGAGGCCCAAGTATTGAGCAACTTTTCCACGTCTGCAGTAAGGCATGTGTGGGACTAGTATTAATATCCCAGCTATTGATTCCCGACACCCAGGGACAGAACCACCTGTTTTTCTCAGCAAGAGGCCAAATCATGTTTACAGGAATCCTCTCTAGCATATAAGATCCTGGAAAACTTTTAAGCAAGATAAAGTAGAAGTGCTTATTTCATAGTTTCAAGGTGACTGACTAGCTAAGACAAGTTGAATTTAAGGAGACCAAGAGTGGAGATGAGAAGAGTAAAAGCGGGGAAACAACATCTTCAAATCGATAGGCAGTGCTGTCAGTGACATCCCTCAGTTCCGATTAAACCAATTTGATGTCCCCAGTTTCTAACAAATCATGTGTTTGGGTTTCTTCTCCCCAGTCCCTGGCTATCTGTGTTCTGCCCAAACATCAGCACAGTGGCATCTGGCAAGGCTCCTTCCAGAGAAAACACAGAGGTGAACGTTGCAGAAGGCATTGAGAAATCCTGCTCCCAACAGGAAGAAAACAAACCGACTTCCAGAGCCAGCAGAATAGACTTCTTCTGAGTCAGGTGGCCTACTTCCTGAACTACCAGCTGAAGACCTACAGTAAGTTCTACAGGTTCACCACCACGAAAGTGATGAATAATGTCCTGTCTTGTTTTGAGAACCTAACCACTTTCTTAATCAAAATTAGTTTCATCCTCTTCATCCTTGCAGAAAATAGAAATGAGTATTTTACCATTTTGTTAAAGATGTAAGGCAGAGGCCAAAGTATTTAGCAACTTTTCCATGTCTGCAATAAGGTGGGTGTGGGACTGGGATTAAAATCCCAGCTATTGGCCGGGCGTGGTGGCTCATGCATATAATCCCAGCACTTTGGGAGGCCGAGGCAGGTGGATCACGAGGTCAAGAGATCGAGACCATCCTGGTCAACAAGGTGAAAACCGTCTCTACTTAAAATACTTAGTCGGGTATGGTGGCGTGCACCTGTAGTCCCAGTTACTCAGGAGGCTGAGGCAGGAGAATTGCTTGAACCCAGGAGACGGAGGTTGCGGTGAGCCGAGTTCGCGCCATTGCACTCCAGCCTGGGTAACGAGCGAAACTCCGTCTTAAAAAAAAAAAAAATCCCAGCTATTAATTTCTGACACAGGCACAGAACCACCTTTTTACTCAGCAAAGGGTGAAATCATGTTTACGGGAATCCTCTCTACTGTATAAGATTTTGCAGACCAGTAGCATCTAGTCTGTTGGTCTAAATGGCTGAGGCTAGTGAACTTCTACTAGGTTCTGGTTTCTGCTGAGCCCCAGTAGGCAAAGGTGTGTTCTGGGACACCAGGGGAACACAGTGATAGCACATGGTACCTCCTGTGAGGAACTTGAAGGGGACCCTGGTCCTAATAGAACCTGTGGTATCTGTAAGTGGCACCATCAAGAACAGGGAGTACCCTGGTACTGGTGCCAATGAGCTGGGATCCCTGGTGGGCACCAAAGCACCTGGCTAATTTTTGTGTTTTTAGCAGAGGTGGTGTTTCACCATGTTGGCCAGGCTGGTCTTCAACTCCTGAGGTCAAGTGATGTGCCCGTCTGGGCCTCCTAAAATGCTGGAATTCCAGGCAGGAGACACCGGGCTGCCTCCACAGATTATTTTTAAGTAAAGGTTGTTAGAATTCATCCCTTGGTCCTGTCTCCTATTATAAATTTCCCTAAACATTCATTGAGCATGATATAGGATGATATAAATCAGTATTGCAGCAATGCTTCTGGAAAGTGGTCGGGGCGATTTTTGAAGATTTTGGGGAGAAAGTTTTAATTATTTGCACTGACTTAGGTCAGAGGATATGTGATTAAGATCTACCAGATGAGGAGACTTTGTCCCATGGATCTGAAAAGCAGGCTCATCTACTTCTCAGTGATTTAACCTAGGGCCTGTTAGAACATTTTCATCAGAATATCACATTCTTACACTGAGAATATTTTACATCCTTGTGCTATGACCGAACACTGATTTGGTCTTGGGTGAAGTGTGATTTCTTAATGTGACCTGCACTTCTTATTTGTTTGCAGGAGATCCAAAAGATTACAATGAAGAACAGAAATGCAGAGACAGCAAAAATAAACTTCTTATGAGTCAAGTGGCCTACTACCTGGGCTGCCGGCTAAAGACAGAAGGTAAGGTTCTCTGGTTCACTGTCTTGAAAGTGATGAACAATGCCCTGTCTTGTCTATGAGAAGTGATACCTTCACTTATTCAAAGTTGATTTCATCCTTTCCATAGTTTATGAAAATAGCAAAGAGGTATTTTAACGTTTTGTTAAAGATGGAAGACAGAGGCCAAAGCATTTAGCAACTTTTCCACATCTGCAGTAAGGCGGTGTGGGACTAGGGTTATATCCCAGCTATTGATTCCCGACACAGGCACAGAACCCCCCGTTTTCTCAGCAAGAAGCTAAGTCATGTTTACAGGAATCCTCTCTGTACCATATAAGATCCTGCAGAACTCATAGCAGATAAAGGTAGAAGTGTTTATGTCCTGGCTTCAAGGTGACTGAGTAGCTAAGACAAGTTGACTTAAGGAGATCAAGAGTGGAGATGAGAAGAGTAAAAGCGGGAAAACAACATCTTCAAATCGATAGGCAGTGCTGTCAGTGACATCCCTTAGTCCCGATTAAAGCAATTGACGTCACCAGTTTCTAACGCATCGTGTGTTTGGGTTTCTTCTCCCCAGTCCCTGGCTATCTGTGTTCTGCCCCAAACATCAACACGGTGGCCTCAGGCAAGCCTCCTTCCGGAGAAAACACAGAGGTGAACGTTGCAGAAGGCATTGAGATATCCTGCTCCCGGCAGGAAGAAAACAAACCGACTTCCAGAGCCAGCAAAAATAGACTTCTTCTGAGTCAGGTGGCCTACTTCCTGAATTACCAGCTGAAGACCTACAGTAAGTTCTATAGGTTCACCACCACGAAAGTGATGAATAATGTTCTGTCTTGTTTTGAGAAAGTAACCTCTTTCTTCATCAAAATTAATTTTGTCCTTCCCATACTTGTAGAAAATAGAAATGGTTATTTAGCGTTTTGTTTAAGATGGAAGGCAGAGGCCAAAGTATCTAGCAACTTTTCCACGTCTACGGTAACATGGGTGTGGGACTGGGGTTACAATCCCTGCTATTGATCTCTGACACAGGCACAGAACCACCTGTTTTTTTCAGCAAATGGCTAAATCATGTTTACAGGAATCCTCCCTGTACCATATAAGATCCTGCAGACAAGTAGCATCTAGTCTGTTGGTCTACGTGTCTGAGGCTACTGAACTTCGATTTGGTTCCAGTTTCTGCTGAGGCCCAGTAGGCAAAGCTGTGTTCTGGGAACACTGGGGGAAACACAGTGATAGCACACAGTACCTCCTGTGAGGAGCTCGAGGAGGACCCTGCTTTTAATAGAACCTGTGGTATCTGTAAGTGGCACCCACCATCAAGAGCAGGGAGTACCCTGCTGCTGGTGCCTCAGCCTCTCCATTAGCTGGGATTTCTGGTAGGCACCAAAGCACCCGCCTTATTTTTGTACTTCTAGTAGAGGCGGGGTTTCACCATGTTGGCCAGGCTGGGTCTTGAAATCTTGAGGTCAAGTGATCTGCCCTTCTGGGCCTCCTAAAAGGCTGGAATTCCAGTCATGAGACAGCGGGCTGGCTCCACAGGTTCTTTTTTAAGTAAAGGTTGTTAGAATTCATGCCTTGGTCCAGTGTCCTATATAAATTTCTCTAAGTATCATTGACCATGATATATGCTGAGATAAATCGGTATGGCCGCAATGCTTCTGGAAAGCAGTTATTGCAATTTTTGAAGACTTTGGGGAAAAACAGTTTTAATTATTTGCACTGACTTAGGTCAGAGGATATGTGATAAAGATGGACGAGATCAGGGAGATTTTGTTTCACGGATCTGAAAAGCAGGCTCATTTACTTCTGAGGCGACTTAATCTAGGGACCAGTAGAACATTCCTGTCAGAATATTACATTCTTACACTGAGAATATTTTACGTCCTTGGGCCATGACCGCAAAAACACAGTGTTTTTTTTTTTTTTTTTTCCTCTGAGACGGAGTTTCGCTCTTGTTACCCAGGCTGGAGTGCAATGGTGCGATCTCGGCTCACCGCAACCTCCGCCTCCTGGGTTCAGGCAATTCTCTTGCCTCAGCCTCCTGAGCTGAGATTACAGGCACGTGCCACCATGCCCAGCTAATTTTTTGTATTTTTAGTATAGACAGGGTTTCACCCTGTTGACCAAGATGGTCTCGATCTCTTGGCCTCGTGATCCTTCCGCCTCAGCCTCCCAAAGTTCTGGGATTACAGGCGTGAGCCATCACGCCCGGCACTGATTTGGTTTTGTGTGAAGTGTGATTTCCTTAATGTGACCTGCTCTTCTGAATTTGTTTACAGGAGATCGAAAAGATCACGGTGAAGAACAGAGAGGCAGAGACAGCAAAAATAAACTTCTTATGAGTCAAGTGGCCTACTACCTGGGCTGCCGGCTGAAGACGGAAGGTCAGTTCTCTAGGTTCACTGTCACAAAAGTGCTGAACAATGTTTTGTCTTCTTTCTGAGAATTTAATACACTCTCTTCAAAGTTAATTTGATCCTTCCTGTACTTCTAGGAAAATAGCAGTGGGTATTTTAACATTTTGTTAAAGACGGAAGACAGAGGCCAAAGCATTTAGCGACTTTCCCACGTCTGCAGTAAGGCGGGTGTGGGACTAGGGTTAATATCCCAGCTATTGATTCCCGACACAGGCACAGAACCACCTGTTTTTCTCAGCAAGAAGCTAAGTCATGTTTACAGGAATCCTCTCTGTACCATATAAGATCCTGCAGAACTCATAAGCAAGATAAAGGTAGAAGTGTTTATGTCCTGGCTTCAAGGTGACTGAGTAGCTAAGACAAGTTGACTTTAAGGAGATCAAGAGTGGAGATGAGAAGAGTAAAAGCGGGGAAACAACGTCTTCAAATCGATAGGCAGTGCTGTCAGTGACATCCCTCTGTTCTGATTAAAGCAATTTGAAGTCACCAGTTTCTAAACGCATCGTGTGTTTGGGTTTCTTCTCCCCAGTCCCTGGCTTTCTGTGTTCTTCCCGAAACATCAGCAAGGTGACATCTGGCAGGCCTTTTCCAGAAGAAACAGTGAGTTTAACATTCCAGAAGGCATTGAGAAATCCTGGTCCCAGCAGGAAGATAACAAACCGAATATCGGAGGCAGCAAAAATAGACTTCTTATGAGTCAGGTGGACTACTCCCTGGACTATCGGCTGAGGACATGCAAGTAAGTTCTATAGGTTGACCACCACGAAAGTTATGAATGATGTCCTGTCTTGTCTCGAGAAACTAACCGCCTCTCTTCATCAAAATTAATTTCATCCTCCCATTTTTGTAGAAAATAGCAATGGGTATTTTTAACATTTAGTTAAAATGGAAGACAGACACCAAAATAGCAAACATTTCCACATCTGCAGTAAGGTGGTGTGGGACTGTGGGACTGTGGGACTGGGGTACAGTCACAGCTATTGATTCCTGATCCAGGCACAGAACCACCCGTTTTCTTAGCAAGAGGCTAAATCCATGTTACAGGAATCCTCTCTATACCGTGTAAGATTTTACAGACAAGTAGCATCTAGTCTGCTGGTCTAAATGTCTGAGGCTACTGAACTTCCGGCAGTTCCGGTTTCTGATAAAGGTCAGTAGGCAAAGCTGTGTTCTGCGTACCCTTGGGGAAACACGGTGATAGCAGACAGTACCCACTGTGAGGAGCTTAAAGGGGACCTTGCTCCTAATAGAACCTATGCTTTCTGTAAGTGGCACCATCAAGAGCAGGGAGTACCGAGGTATTGGTGTCTCAGCCAGCCAATTAGCTGGGATCCCCGGTGGGCACCACCACATCTTGCTAATTTTCATGTTTTATGTAGAGGCAGGTTTCACCACGTTGGCCAGCTGGTCTTGAACTTTTGAGGTCAGGTGATCTGCGTGCCTGGGCCTCCTAAGTTGCTTGGATTCCAGGTATGAGCTACAATGCTGGCTCCACAGATTCTTTTTAAGTAAAGGTTGTTAGAATTCATCTGTTGGTCCGGTCTCCTATACAAATTTCTCTAATTATTCATTGGCCATGATATATGATGAAATAATTGGTATTGCAGCAACCCTTCTGGAAAGTAGCGCAATTTTTGAAGGTTTGGGGAGGAAAAGTTTTAATTGTTTGCACTGACTTAGGTCAGAGGACACATATTAATATCTACCAGTTGAGAGAGGTTTTGTCCCATGGGTCTGAAAAGCAGGTTCACCTACTCCTCAGGTGACTTAATCTAGGGCCCGATAGAACATTTCAGTAAGAATATCACATTTATACACTGAGAATATTTTATGTCCGTGTGCTGTGACTGGACACTGATTTGGTCTTGTGTGAAGTGTGATTTGTTCAATGTGAGCTGCTCTTCTGAATTTGTTTACAGAAGATCGACAAGAGCATGAAATACAGAAATACAGAGAAAGCAAAAATAAAGTTCTTATGAGGCAAGCGGCGTACTACCTGCGCTGCCGGCTGAAGATTGAAGGTAAGGAAGTTCTATAGGTTCACCTTCATCATGAAAGTGCTGAACGATCTTCTGTCTTTTCTCTGAGAAACTGAACACTTCTTCAGAATTTACTGAATTTTTCCCATACTTCTAGGCAAATATAAATGGGTAGCTTTGCATTTTGTTAAAAATGGATCCGTCGGTTCAGTCTCCTCTGTAAATTTCTCTAACCATTAGCTGACCATCACATATGATGAGATAAATCAGTATTGCTGCAATGTTGTCCCTCAGTCAAGTGGCCTCTAGTCTGTTGTTCTGAATGTCTGAGGCTGCGGAACTTCCATTCGGTTCCGGTTTCTGCTGAGGCCCAGTAGGCAAAGCAGTGTTCTGGGGACACTGGGGTGAACACGGTGATAACACACAGTACCCGCTGTGGGGAACTTAAAGAGGACTCTGCTCCTTACACAACCTGTGGTATCGGTAAGTGGCACCATCAAGAGCAGGGAGTACTTTTGTATTCGTGACTCGGCCTGTTAGCTGGGATCCCCGGTGGAAACCATGACCCTTGGCTAGTTTTTGTATTTTTAGTAGAGGTGGGTTTTCACCATGTTGGCCAGGCTGGTCTTAACTTCCTGAGGTCAACTGATCTCCCTTCCTGGGCCTCCTAAATTGCTCCAATCCCAGGCATGAGTCACTGTGCTGGCTCCACAGATTCTTTTCTATGTAAAGCTTGTTAGAATTCATCCGTCAGTCCATTCTCCTCTATAAATTTCTCTAACCATCATATATGACGAGATAAATCAGTATTACTGCAATGCTTTTGGAAAGTAGTTAGGGCAATTTTAGAAGGTTTGGGGACAAAGTTTTAATTGTTTGTGCTGACTTAGGTGAGAGGATAAGTGATTAAGATCTAGCAGATAAGGGAGATTTTTGTCCCATGGATCTGAAAAGCAGGCTCATCTACTTCTAGGGTGACCTAATCTAGTGACCAGTAGAACATTCCCTTCAGAATATCACATTCTGAAACGGAGAATATTTTCATCCTTGTTCTATGACTAGACACTGATTTGGTCTTGTGTGAAGTGCGATTTGCTTAATGTGACCTGCTCTTCTGAATTTGTTTACAGAAGATCGGAGACGTCACGGGGAGGAACAGAAATACAGAGACAGCAAAAATAAACTTCTTATGAGTCAATACTACCCGGGCTGCAGGCTGAAGACGGAAAGTAAGTTTCATAGGTTCACCGTCACCAAAGTGCTGAACGATGTTCTGTGTTTCCTGTGAGAAACTAAAGGCTCTCTTTATCAGAATTAATTTCATTTTACCATACCTCTAGGAAAATATAAATGGGTATTTTAACATTTTGTTAAGGTGGACGAGAGAAGCCAAAGTTATGTAGCAACTTTTCCACATCTGCAGTAAGGCGGGTGTGGGACTGAGGGTAAAGTCTCAGCTGTTGATTTCTGACACAGGCACAGAACCACCTGTTTTTCTCAGGAAGAGGCTAAATCATGTTCACAGGAATCCTCTCTGTACCACCTAAGATCCCGCAGACAAGTAGCATCTAGTCGGTTGTTCTAAATGTCTGAGGCTGCTGAACTTCATTCAGTTCCGGTTTCTGCTGAGGCTCAGTAGGGAAAGCTCTGTTCTGGGGGACATGCGATGGTAGCACTCTATACCTGTTATATGGAGCTTAAAGTGGACTCTGCTCCTTACATACCCTATGGTATTTGTAAGTGGCATCATCAAGAGCAGAGATTTCTCTGGTCAGAGGGACGTCCTGCTGTCTTTGCAGAGGCTCTCGTTGGTAAAGAGGAAGAACGACGGCACCCATGACTTTGTGAAGGCAGCAGTGCATAGAGGAGGGACCCTGGGCCAGTCTTCTGAGCTCCCTCCAAGTTGCTTCTTTTGTTTGTTACTCAGTTTTGTCATCTGTTTGTAGGATACTATAATAATGCCTACCTCTGTCAATTGCTGCACTGAATTAGATGGCCTATTTCTTGTAACTCTCCCGGGACAGTTGTTGGCACAGAGTAAACACTGTCTATTAGTTTCTTTTTTTTTTTGAGATGGAGTTTTGCTGTTGTTTCCCAGACTGGAGTGCAATGGCATGATCTCGGCTCACCGCAACCTCCGCCTTCTGGGTTCAAGCAATTCTTTTGCCTCAGCCTCCTGAGTAGCTGGGACTATAGGTGCACACCACCATGCCCAGCTAATTTTTGTATTTTTAGTAGAGACGGGGTTTCACCTTGTTGACCAGGATGGTCTCGATCTCTTGACCTCGTGATCCACCCGCCTCAGCCTCCCGAAGTGCTGGGATTATAGGCGTGAGCCACCACACCTGGCCAACACTGTCTGTTAGTTCTTCATTCTACTGTGTCTAGCATAAGGGAAACTTTATTAGTCTTGGTGCATATTTCTTTTATGGCCTTAGGAGAGGCTCCAGACCTTTATAATTCCACAATGACAGTTTTATCAGTGGTGTTTTCTTCCACAAAACATGTGGCCATGACATGACTAGGACTTTCTGAATGAGAACACAGATGGGAAACCCATGGAGTTGGAGGTCACCGTATTGCAAATGTCCCTCCTTTTGTGATGGATTGTGGTCTTTGGAACAGGAGGCAGTATCTGTCCAGTTGTAAAGGACAGGAAGGAAGCGGTGGCAGGAGGGCAGTTGTTGGAGTGGAAAGAGCTCTGGACTAAGAATGAAGGTCCCAGGCTGTATCTTCAGCAGTGTTCTTAGGAACTGTCAGGGAGCAATTGATTTCTTCTTCCTTTCTCTGCCTCCATCTGCAAAGGGAGGTAAATTTCTCTCTCTCCATCTGCAAAGGCAGACATCTTGCAGTGTCTGAAGCATTCAAATGTGTGAGCACTTATGACCGCTTATCACAATGAGATAAAGCCCCTTGCTGTGTGGTGTTGGAGAAAGCACTTGATGTGTGGGCATTTGGTGGTAGGAAGTGGTTCAGATTGGAGCATTCCCCATGCAGAGAATGTCTCTGAATAACATAGCAGAAGCCACTTGGAGGGCCTGTGAAGTCACCTGATGTGCAGAGGATTGTACAAGTTTGTTTATCCTCTCCTAAGAGAAAGAAATAGGTTGTAAATATGAGCTGTGACGGCCGCCAAGCCTGTCCCTGGGAATCAGATCTGTGTTGGGATGGGGGGGACAGCTGCCAAAGTCCAGAGAGAGGCTGCACAAGCCTCCAGTGATGTGGGAGCAGAAGGTCTTTTCAACATTCGGCCTCATCTTGATGGTGAGCCTCCTGATCCGAAATGCATTGCCTGGTGGATCAGGAAACCATGCCAGGGCATTTTGTTAAAGAGAAAACATGAGAGCTTTCAGTAGAACAGGGACCCATACACAGATGTTCATGTCCCTGCGCACATTGGGCCGACTGTCCCTGCAGAGTGTGAAATGGGAAATAACTGAACTAACACATCTGTACTTGCAGAAAACGACAAAGACGAGGATGAAGATGTTCATGTCATGGAGGCTGAGAAAATCCAGGAATCACGTGCCCCCAGGTAACACTGAAGAAGCCGTGGCAAGTAATGGGTGGTAAAGTATGGAAAAGGTCTAGAAGCACACCCTCTCTGGTGTCTCCCATGGGCCAAAAGCCTGCATTCCCTTGGCCACAATATGTTCAGTTCCACTTAACTTAGACACAGGGTGTGGCAGCTGTTGTGGTTCTTTGTATGTGCTGAGTGCCGTGTCTGAATTATACAGGGATAACTGAGTCTTTTTTCTTCTCGGCTCCTTTCTGCCCAGTGTAAGGAATACCAGCTGCTGTCTTTCTCTCCGGTTCCCATGGCAGCCATGCTGTGTTGCAGAGAGGACAATGTTGTGGGTAATTTGTGGCACGTGTATAGATTTTAATTTCTGACTCCTCCCAAGATGGGAACCTACAATCAGATGAGCCAGGTGAACTCAGCAAACAGGGATTTCCTGGTTTTGCCTGTTCTCCCCACTGTGTTTAAACCCAGGGAGAGACACATATATGCTTTCTGCCCATTTGTTGTGAGTGTGTTTGCTAGGATCTGTGAAGAGAAGAAATTCACAACATAGACATATTATATCAAAATACTGGAAAAAGAAGGCCCTTAATACACCAGATCTGGGTGTCTGAAGTGCCTCAAGAGCTCTGTCCACTTGAATGCTGCATGTAAAATTCAACACAACTTACGCGAGGTGGTTGAAGCCCCGTGTTAGTTCTCGTGCTGCAAGTCGTGATGAGAGTTTACAGGGAGAGTCTGTGTGGCCTGCAGTGGCTCATCTGTGCAACATGCAGTGAGCACATGCTGCTCATTTGTGCTCTGTCCCCAGGGCAGTCACCCTCCACCCTGCATTTAGAAGCGATAGTTTTTTTTCTCTTGAAGGAAAAAGGCCTTTGCTTTCTGTGACCACTCCATTCTGACTTCCATCAGATCAGCTGGGAGACTTTGTTGTCTAATCCGTGTTGGTTTAATCTTCTGTCATCCCTGTCCTGCCTGGCTCATCAGGAATCTGCAGGAGTCTGTGGAGGAGGAAGCCCCCCAGGAGTCCTGGGATGAAGATGATTCGATTCTCTCAATTCCTCCTGGCACATTTGCCTTCGATGAGCTTTACAGGACCAACTTGCACTCATTAGAGGAACAGCAGGTCAACTTGGCTCATGACATAGACAGTGAGTACTCTGTTGTGAAAGTGGTAAAGCTCCACTTTGTGTCCCAGATAGACCCCATAGTCTTTGTGCATTGCTCCCCTGGCCGCGCTGAGAGTTGTCATCACTGTGGGCTGAACCTATCCATCAGTGCAGATTTCAGTCACTCCGGATTCCAGTCTGAAGCACGGGCATGGGGTGGTTCAGTGAGCTTTGCTCTCTCTCTAGTCTCAGTCCATGCCCGTGGCACCCTGGACCAACTGTCAGGACGTTGAAACCCAAGGAGGCTGTTGCAAACTCACACCAAGCTATGCAGCACATGCCCACGAGTTGTCTGTCAATCTGAATTAAATGTCTCTTGCCAGCTACCAAGTTCCTCATGAGTTTTGTTCCCCAGGCATGTCTGTGAGGTTCTTTCCTGTTTGTACAAACTTGGGATAAAGGGATAATGGTCTACCAGAATAGGGACGTTTCACCATTGGTTCTGAGACACAAACCAATGAATCTCTATCATGATTGGCCTTGAGACCTCCTGAAGTCTCTCTCTCACGTTATCCTGTTCTCAAGCTGAGGAGTCTGAGGTCCCCGTGCAGGGATTAGACAGTGGACTGTTATGGGTGTAGGGCAATGGCTAACTTTGTCCCTATCTGAATTTATTGCAGAGATTAAAAAGGACCGAGAAGAGGAAGAAGACCAAGGCCCACTGTGCCCCAGGTAACTTTGAGCAACTGTGAACAGCTAATTTTGTGTTGACACCTGGAGACGCCAGGTCCACGGAAAACAGAGTGGGCTGACAATATCGATACTATCTTTTCAATGAAGCCTGAAGTATTCCTCCAGACGTCGCTGTTGGTTTTCATTGCAGTAGATACTTAGGTTTCCTTCCCATTTACTAACTGCTGTGGGTTGACCATACTTGTTTTTATGATCAGTGTACGCTGTGTGTCCTGAGGGTACTGACTCAGAGTGTCCTTTTACTCCCTCATCAGTGTGTCACCTGGACGGTTCACTGAGCTTACTTTCTCTCTCTCTCTCTCTCTCTCTCTCTCTCTCTCTCTCTCTGTCTCTTTTATTTTTTTCTCCCCTACTCTTGTTCATCCCAGCATAAGGCAATGGTTTGTTACGTCATTAGTAGATCTATGTTTTTTCTTTATCAACCACTTTCTTGTGCTACCCATGAAATCTAGTTGGGGCTCTGCGGTGTCTTATTTTCCCTGACTTATTCTTTGGTTTTTCCTTCTTTTTTAGGGTCAGCATGGAGCTGGTGGAAGCAGAAGAGCCTGAAGTCTTCTGGTACTCACTGGATATATTGTATTCAACATACACCGCTTATCTTGAGTTTTATTACACATGCCAGGCTTACACATATGCCGTTTTTTTATATGCAGAAGAGCATGTTCGCTTGACTTTGGACATGGACAGTAGGTTTTTTACTCTGACGGTGATAGGACTCCACCTGGTCTCCCGGATAGGGGTCATATTCCCACACTAAGACAACGTGTCACACGGGACTCTGCCAGTGCAGAGTATGAACCACGCCATGTTCTTGCTGAAAACACTTAGCCCGAGTTTTATAGCCTGAGGTAATCTCCAGACGACTTCAGAATGTAGAACAGTGAGCGGCACAACTGACCTGTCTCCTTCAGACAGCCCATGTCACCACAAATCACACAACTGAAAGGAGAAGAGACGTTTTGGGTTGAAAAAGAGTAAAAAGAGAATGTAGCTACATTTCTTTAGTTCTTTTGAACCCAAAGTGTCTCCTCACCTTTTTGTTGTTGTCATTGATGGTGGGGACATGGGCTTGTTCGTAGAGGACAGGTCAGCTGTCCGGCTCAATGGTCTGTACTCTGAAGTTGTCTGAAAATGTCCTCATGCTTAAATTCAGCCTAAGTGTTTTTCCGGGAACACTGCAGGGTCAATGCTACCTCACCCACCTGCAGGTAGAGAAGGTCCCGTGTGTCTACCACCATGATCGTGATACCAGGACTTTTCCACCATTTGTCTATCACCATGATCGTGATGCCAGATCTGTACCTTTCAGAGACACCTTATTTATGCGGATATATATATTTTTTCAGACACCTTATTTATGCGGATATATATATTTATTCAGAGACACCTTATTTATACGTATATATATATTTCTTCAGAGACACCTTATTTATGTGGATATATATATTTATTCAGAGACACCTTATTTATACGGATATATATATTCAGAGACACCTTATTTATACAGATATATATATTTAGAGACACCTTATTTATACAGATATATATATATTTATACGAAAGTAATTGGAAAAATGGTTTTTAAAAGTATTAATATCCTGTATTCAAATGATCATCCCTCAACATTTTATTATTCATTAATCATCCCTGGCTTTGTCAATTATTGTATTTACATCTCTACACTGGAAATTTTTCATTATTACTGTATCTTTGCTTTTGCTGGTTTCTGTTGTTGAACCAAAAAAATTCCCTGCCTGCATTTCAATTTTGCCAAAGTTAATTTTAATCTATACAATGAAAATTTTTATTCTTTAAGATAAGACTGTGAGCACATAAGGCCACAGCAAAACAGAGCCTTTGTTTGCTAATTTTTAAGCCTTTTGTTAATTTCTGGCTGATTAGAGAGGTAGTTTATTTAATTACCTGCTAATATCTATTTAAGTGAGCAGCCAGAGAAATGTCTATCAGACTAAGGATGTGCAAAGCCCAGGCCATTCTCTTTGTCTTTTAAACTATTTCAGAAGAGAAGGGTATAGGCAGATTCCACATATGTGGACAGGAAGGAGAATATGCTAAAAGACACAAACAACCGTTGCCCAAAACAGAATAGAAAATCCATTAAAATGCATGAAATATTTTCTCATGAAATGTAATCTCTAAACTTAGCCATTATATGAAAGTCAATTCTTAATATGTCACACTGCATTGACTGTTGACGTTCATAAGAATTCATTTCCATGTTTGTTATTTGAAAAAGCAAAAGGACTGTAATCCTTTCTTTTCTTTGCCATGATCATTTTAAGATTGAGGATTTTTTTCCAAAATAAAATTGAAGATTTTACAGATTGAAAATTGACATTAAAATGTATCTTCTCAAAGCAATGATGTGTAACGCAGGCTGTCTTATTCCTGTTTGTAGTGTAAGTGTCAGGTGCTCATTTAACCATTCTTTAAATGTTTCAAATTACTGGGAACAAGCCACGTTCCAGGTGGTTTCTTTTTTTTTTTTTTTTAATTTTTTATTGCATTTTAGGTTTTGGGGTACATGAGCAGAGCATGCAAGACAGTTGCGTAGGTACACACATGGCAGTGTGTTTTGCTTCCTTTCTCCCCTTCACCCACATTAGGCATTTCTTCCCAGGTTATCCCTCCCCACCTCCCCCTCCCACTGGCCCTCCCCTTTTCCTCCCAATAGACCCCAGTGTTTAGTACTCCCCTCCCTGTGTCCATGTGTTCTCATTTTTCATCACCCGCCTATGAATGAGAATATGCGGTGTTTCATTTTCTGTTCTTGTGTCAGTTTGCTGAGGATGATGTTCTCCAGATTCATCCATGTCCCTACAAACGACACAAACTCATCATTTTTGATTGCTGCATAATATTCCATGGTGTATATGTGCCACATTTTTCCAATCCAGTCTATTATCAATGGGTATTTGGGTTGATTCCAGGTCTTTGCTATTGTAAACAGTGCTGGAATGAACATTCGTGTACATGTGTCCTTATAGTAGAATGATTTATAGTCTTTTGGATATATACCCAGTAATGGGATTGCTGGGTCAAATGGAATTTCTATTTCTAAGGCCTTGAGGAATCGCCACACTGTCTTCCACAATGGTTGAACTAATTTACACTGCCACCAACAGTGTAAAAGTGTTCCTTTTTCTCCACATCCTCTCCAGCATCTGTTGTCTCCAGATTTTTTAATGATCGCCATTCTAACTGGCGTGAGATGGTATCTCAATGTGGTTTTGATTTGCATCTCTCTGATGACCAGTGACGATGAGCATTTTTTCATATGATTGTTGGCCTCATATATGTCTTCTTTCGTAAAGTGTCTGTTCATATCCTTTGCCCACTTTTGAATGGGCTTGTTTGTTTTTTTCCTGTAAATCTGTTTGAGTTCTTTGTAAATTCTGGATATCAGCCCTTTGTCAGATGGGTAAACTGCAAAAATTTTTTCCCATTCTGTTGGTTGCCGATTCACTCTAGTGACTGTTTCTTTTGTCGTGCAGAAGCTGTGGAGTTTCATTAGGTCCCATTTGTCTATTTTGGCTTTTGTTGCCAATGCTTTTGGTGTTTTGTTCATGAAGTCCTTGCCTACTCCTATGTCCTGGATGGTTTTGCCTAGATTTCCTTCTGGGGTTTTTATCGTGCCAGGTCTTATGTTTAAGTCTTTAATCCATCTGGAGTTAATTTTAGTGTAAGGTGTCAGAAAGGGGTCCAGTTTCTGCTTTCTGCATATGGCTAGCCAATTTTCCCAACACCATTTGTTAAACAGGGAATCCTTTCCCCATTGCTTGTTTTTGTTAGGTTTATCAAAGATTGTATAGTTGTAGATATGTTGTGTTGCCTCTGGTGCCTCTGTTTTGTTCCATTGGTCTATATCTCTGTTTTGGTACCAGTACCATGCTGTTTTGATTACTTTAGCCTTGTAGTATAGTTTGAAATTTGGTAGTGTGATGCCCCCCGCTGTGTTCTTTTTGCTTAGAATTGACTTGGCTATGCAGGCTCTCTTTTGGTTCCATACGAAGTTCATGGTGGTTTTTTCCAGTTCTGTGAAGAAAGTCAATGGTAGCTTGATGGGCATAGCGTTGATTCTGTAAATTACTTTGGGCAGTATAGCCATTTTCACGATATTAATTCTTCCTATCCATGAACGTGGAATGTTTCTCCATCTGTTTGTGTCCTCTCTGATTTCATTGGTTTGTAGTTCTCCTTGAAGAGGTCTCTTACGTTCCTTGTGAGTTGTATTCCAAGGTATTTTATTCTTTTTGTAGCAATTGTGAATGGCAGTTCGTTCTTGATTTGGCTTTCTTTAAGTCTGTTATTGGTGTATAGGAATGCTTGTGATTTTTGCACATTGATTTTATATCCTGAGGCTTTGCTGAAGTTGCTTATCAGTTTCAGGAGTTTTTGGGCTGAGGCGATGGGGTCTTCTAGGTATACTATCATGTCGTCTGCAAATAGAGACAATTTGGCTTCCACCTTTCCAATTTAATACCCTTTATTTCTTTTTCTTGCCTGATTGCTCTGGCTAGAACTTCCAGTACTATATTGAATAGGAGTGGTGACAGAGGGCATCCTTGTCTAGTGCCGGATTTCAAAGGGAATGCTTCCAGTTTTTGCCCATTCAGTATGATATCGGCTGTTGGTTTGTCATAAATAGCTTTTATTACTTTGAGATACATTCCATCAATACCGAGTTTATTGAGGGTTTTTAGCATAAAGGGCTGTTGAATTTTGTCAAATGCCTTCTCTGCATCAATTGAGATAATCATGTGGTTTTTGGTTTTGGTTCTGTTTATGTGGTCAATTACGTTTATAGACTTGCGTATGTTGAACCAGCCTTGCATCCCCGGAATGAATCCTACTTGATCATGATGAATAAGTTTTTCGTTTTGCTGTTGCAATCGGCTTGCCAATATTTTATTGAAGATTTTTGCATTTATGTTCATCATGGATATTGGCCTGAAGTTTTCTTTTCTCATTGGGTCTCTGCCGGGTTTTGGTATCAGGATGATGTTGGTCTCGTAAAATGATTTGGGAAGGATTCCCTCTTTTTGGATTATTTGGAATAGTTTTAGAAGGAATGGTATCAGCTCCTCTTTGTGTGTCTGGTAGAATTCGGCGGTGAACCCATCTAGACCTGGGCTTTTTTTGTGTGGTAGGCTCTTAATTGCGGCCTCGACTTCTGACCTTGTTATTAGTCTATTCATAGTTTCAGCTTCCTCCTGGTTTAGGCTTGGGAGGACACAGGAGTCCAGGAATTTATCCATTTCTTCCTGGTTTACTAGTTTATGTGCATAGAGTTGTTTGTAATATTCTCTGATGATGGTTTGAATTTCTGTGGAATCTGTGGTGATTTCCCCTTTATCATTTTTTATTGCATCTATTTGGTTATTCTCTCTTTTATTTTTAATCTGGCTAGTGGGCTATTTTGTTGATCTTTTCAAAAAACCAGCTCTTGGATTTATTGATTTTTTGAAGGGTTTTTCGTGTCTCAATCTTCTTCAGTTCAGCTCTGATCTTAGTTATTTCTTGTCTTCTGCTGGGTTTTGAGTTTTTTTGATCTTGCTCCTCTAGCTCTTTCAATTTTGATGATAGGGTGTCAATTTTGGATCTCTCCATTCTTCTCATATGGGCACTTATTGCTATATACTTTCCTCTAGAGACTGCTTCAGATGTGTCCCAGAGATTCTGGAATGTTGTGTCTTCGTTCTTATTGGTTTCGAAGAACTTCTATATTTCTGTCTTCATTTCATTGTTTACCCAGTCAACATTCAAAAGCCAGTTGTTCAGTTTCCATGAAGCTTTGCGGTTCTGGGTTGGTTTCTGAATTCTGAGTTGTAACTTGATTGCACTATGGTCTGAGAGGCTGTTTGTTATGATTTCAGTTGTTTTGCATTTGCTGAGAAGTGCTTTACTTTCAGTTATGTGGTCAATTTTAGAGTAGGTGTGATGTGGTGCTGAGAAGAATGTATATTCTGTGGATTTGGAGTGGAGAGTTCTGTAAATGTCTATCAGGTTTGCTTGCTCCAGGTCCGAGTTCAAGCCCTGGATATCCTTGTTGATTTTCTGTCTGGTTGATCTGTCTAATATTGACAGTGGAGTGTTAAAGTCTCCCACTATTATTGTGTGGGAGTCTAAGTCTCTTTGTAAGTCATTAAGAACTTGCCTTATGTATCTGGGTGCTCCTGCATTGGGTCCATATATGTTTAGGGTCATTAGTTCTTGTATCGATCCTTTTATCATTACGTAATGGCCTTCTTTGTCTATTTTGATCTTTGTTGCTTTAAAGTCTATTTTATCAGAGATGAGAATTGCAACTCCTGCTTATTTTTGCTCTCCATCGGCTTGGTAAATCTTCCTCCATCCCTTTATTTTGAGCCTTTGTGTATCCTTGCATGTGAGATGGGTTTCCTGGATACAGCACACTGATGGGTTTTGGATTTTTATCCAATGTGCGAGTCTGTGTCTTTTGATTGGTGCATTTAGTCCACTTACATTTAGGGTTAATATTATTATGTGTGAATTTGATAATGCCATTTTGATGCTAAGTGGCTGTTTTGCCCGTTAGTTGTTGTAGATTCTTCATTATGTTGATGCTCTTTAGCATTTAGTGTGATTTTGGAATGGCTGGTACTGGTTGTTCCTTTCTATATGTGGTGCCTCTTTTAGGAGCTCTTGTAAAGCAGGCCTGGTGGTGACAAAATCTCTGAGTACTTGCTTGTTCGCAAAGGATTTTATTTTTCCTTCACTTCTGAAGCTCAGTTTGGCTGGATATGAAATTCGGGGTTGAAAGTTCTTTTCTTTAAGGATGTTGAATATTGGCCCCCACTCTCTTCTGGCTTGTAGTGTTTCTGCCGAGAGATCTGCTGTGAGTCTGATGGGCTTCCCTTTGTGGGTGACCCGACCTTTCTCTCTGGCTGCCCTTAGTATTTTCTCCTTTATTTCAACCTTGTTGAATCTGACGATTATGTGCCTTGGGGTTGCTCTTCTTGCGGAATATCTTTGTGGTGTTCTCTGTATTTCCTGCATTTGAGTGTTGGCCTGTCTTGCTAGGGTGGTTTCTTTTGTTTCTGTTTTTTTGTTTTGTTTTGTTTTCTTATTTCTTTATTTTACTTTAAGTTCTGGGTTACATGTACAGATCTTGCAGGATTGTTACACAAGTATAAGCATGCCATCTTGGTTTGCTGCCTCCCCCCGTCCCGTGTCACCTACATTAGGTATTTCTCCTAATGCTATCCCTCCCCAATCTCCCCACCCCCTGCTATCCCTCCTCTAGCTCCCCTACCACCTGACAGGCCCCAGTGTGTGATGTTTCCCTTTCTGTGTCTGTGTGTTCTCATTGTTCAACACCCACTTATGAGTGAGAACCT